TGACGCGCCCACTCATGACAAAGCACGCATTGCATTTGATTGCGTGCTACGCGCGGCGCATATATCAACAGTCAACTGATAAGGGATGCACTCACTCACTTTACGTACCTACACAAACACATTCGTCACCTGTAACGCGCGGACGCCTTGCCTGTTTATAAGTCTCTGCACCAACCAACATTATTATAATTCACTAATTCATTATTATATTAATGAAACAGCCGAGCACACAGATTTTCCTTGCATGTTACTGAGAAATTTCCTACAATGATGGACATCGATTAGGATATACACATCTGCGGAGCATCACCGATGCATCCCCTCAACTATGGCTAAAATGCAGTTTTACTTCTTGGACGGCGTAGAATTTTAAACAGCACCCGGATATAAACCACGTTCGCTTAATTACAGATGTTGAAATTCGGAATCGATGATCTATACTGCACTACAAAACAGCAATATTGGTTTCTTCTTTTTAATGAGATTTCAAGAAGCCGGTCAATTAGAAGGCAAAAATGGAACCTCTCAAAGCAACTACATTTCAGACCTGTCGGCTACCTCACATGATGTGCCCTTCTCACCCATTCAGTCGGCCACATACAATAGCCAAGGCAACATATTCCGCTTCAAGTACTTGCTATTTGGTTATCTCAAAGAGCCTGTCAAAACGTAAGCGGGTAGGACTGATGATAGTTAAATATTTTCATTCGCGCCTGTTTGAGGGAGTCGTGAGTATCAGGCAGTATGGGATATAGGTGTAGTGATATAGCTTAAAATTGGATGTTGGCCAGACGTAAGGCAACATTCATAAGTTTACGCAAGAATTTTTAACGACCGGTTTTCACATTCTTGAGGCTCATCTGACAAAACTGGACAAACACCCTTTAGCACACTGTGTTTTTCTCACCAACAGACTACTACATTTATCTGAAACATCGCAGTGTTATTCTACCACAAGCGTCTGTGCACAACCATATCGATCTGTATGTAGTTTGGTTAAATAACATGGATGCAGTGTTACACACCACAGAGAGTCCGTGCTGTTATAAAATTCCATGACAATCATAGGAATTTGCAAATAATAATGAAATGATCACTATAATTGAGAACCAAACATTCCTAAACAAGTAAGGCGGTAAAAAACCTGGAGTTTTGATATGTCATTTGTGGTGCAGATCAATCAACCGAAAGTTCTAGTGCAATTGTACGGAAAATGAACAGCTCTCCGTGAGGGTTCGTAATATGCGGTGCATACGGCACAGTAACACGGTAGAGTGCATTCCTTGGTTTTACAATCCATGATGTACACTTTCCACACCTACATAATCTTTTCCTCAAACTGAGCGCCTGATTCTCCGAACCCATTGGATAGTGCAGTGATGAGCAGTGATAAGTTTTCGTAGAAAAACCTGCAGCTGTGGGTAATGAGACAAAGACGCCTTGAAATATAAAACGCGCTTTTCAGGTGGAGAATGAACGACTCAGCAGCTAAATATGTAAAATTAATTTGATCCTAATTTTCAGATTCTAATACGCATGATGCTAGAAGGAATTCGACGGCCTAAGAACGATGATGTGTTAGGATTCAACGTAAATTGTATACTAATGTATCTGATTACTTGATCCATTTGTCTCTTTTCGGCTTCAAGATTCCCATTCGACTTTCTGTTCAGTAGAATGTTGAAGATTGGAAATCAAATTTTCCGCTTCAATTTTTTGTAAAGTAGATATCTTTCAAGGTGGTTTTGGGCAGTCCTTCCGTCCTGTCTTATTCATCGCCTTTCATTAGAATGTCAAGGAATAACATATCGCAAAATAGCAGTAGAACAAAATGCGAGCAGATGGGTTGATCTATCTTGCACCCAGAAAAATGTGAACTCACAAGCAGGCTGTTAGCCAAGAACCGGATCGCCATGTTTCACAATTCGGATGAGACTTTGAAAAACTGTCATCCATACCGGAGTACAACCAAGGAAAGACCAAAGGGAGAATGTAGTATACCAAACAATCTGCACCAAATTTCAACAAAGTGGCTACAGAAACAAAATATCATTTTCCGCAAACTTGACACCTCTTCTTCTTGTACATACGCGAAGTCCGGGAAAATCACAAATTCAATATGGAAAACGTGGAAAATTCGGCATATACAAACACAATACAGGGAAGGTAATTTCCGGGACTCTTGTACACCTCGGCTGATACTGTCAACCTAAGCAGCGACTTGGACCCAGTTTACGCAACACAACGTGAAAAGGACAACAAGAATACTCAAGGAGTGCCAAATAACTGATTCACTAACCAAGAGGCAGATCAACAAAGTTCACACGCTTGAAACCTGAGGGCTCAGCGACAGGTGTAACTCTAGCATCAATCATAGCACGAGGCCAAGGAGAGCATTCTGCAAGTCACGTGGTTTATTTATCCATCGGGGCGCAGGATAACACAGCTACTAATAAAGCCGACCGACAAAAAATCTGATCGTGGTCGCAGGCCAATGCCGGGTAGCAGCACACACAAAACACTACTCTGCGAAAAACAACCGACCCACCGTTCTCCCTAACATGGCACTCGTGAACTCACCTCGATTGGTGAAGGAAAGTTTGCGATCGAATCACGTAGTTTAGCGACAAAATAAACGATCAACTTGGCATGTAAGTGGTGTATTTAAGTGTTAACCGCATCATGATTCTTCCAATTAACCAAACAAAAGAAGTTAATTTCAAAGCAGGGTGACCTGTGAACTCAGGAAGTTCATGCGCCGTTTAGCTTAGAGCATATTTCATTCACAACCACCGCGACTATGAATTCGAATGTACCAAATGTTGGCTAGTAGTATAGCATTTTGGCATCATGTCAGCTCCCGAGATAAAAAGAAACGTCGGCTGGACGAACGAAATATGTAGGGGTAATATCCCGCCTGCAATTATCGCCCAATACTTACACAAGCGACACAATGCAAGGATATTTTGACTTTAAACTAGGCAGTCAAAATTATACCCACCATTCTAGGGTCTAAAGTCCGATCACATGAACAAAGCCTAAACAGAAATCGCCTGTGGTTTACCGCACTGTGCACTTTGCTGACACCCGATAAGCTTGACTGCTGAGTAAACTGAATGCTGAATTCAGCATCCATATCGCCTAATTCAATCAAAAGTTGCAAACAGTTAATCGGTTTGTCTTCATTTTCACAACGCTTACACACCTGTGAGACGCCGGTTGTGATGCATATGATGCATATGGCCACGATTATTGATAATTATTTTCGGTCACGGACACGTCGTTGTGTAAAACGAAAGCATGGCTGAAAAGACCAAATGTTTGGTCGATTTTTTAAGTTTCACGCCCATGAAATCATGTTCACCGCCCCAACAAGGGTTGATTGGTTATCGAAGTTTCGAAGCTTCTAAGTTTCTGTCTAAGATGTCAAATAAAATCATGCACAAACGACACAAACGCCAAGGTCGCACGTGTTTATTAGGAAACGATATTTTCTCAGCAATTAATGATGAGTGTGCCAATTAAATTCTTAGACACCATTTGGCAATTAGCATTAAGTTTTCGAAACAAGTAAGATAACCAAAAATCAGTGTTCGTACATCTTAGCAAAGGAACACACATTGACCGCGTGTATAAATCTTGTCAGTTCATCTCGTAATCTTGCTTCTTTCCACTTTTGTATGTCTCACCTGATTCAAACTGCCCACACATTGAAGGTTCTGCGTTACATCACATAGTGATATTTGTACCCAGTGTCAGTCTCGTCTTTTATACTTCCGAACGAATTTATACAGTAAGGAAATCAAGTGTGCTTTTTTACCCAAATAGCACTGTTGTGGACATGCACGCTACAGTTATTTAGTCGATTATTAAATTTTAATTCTAACTTTTATTTTTTTTAATTTTATTATTTTTAATTGTTTATTCTAATTTTAGCGCAAAGAAGAACACGCGTCTTTCTGAATTTCCGAACTAGACAGCGTTTCTCAGTGGCAAGTGACATGTAGCTTATGTTGCATAATAAACCATTTATCCTCCATTAAATAGCCACCCTTGTGAAACTAATTCCTGATAGCAGTGAACATCTAGAGTCTACTTAATGTAGACAATGTGTGAACAATTCGCGAGAACGTTAGCTTCATGTTTCTACATGGAAAGTTTCATCACACCACACTTGAGCAATCAAAATTAGAGATAAGCACAAACATGACACCTAACCATTTTTCAGGTGGAGAATGAGCGAATCGGCAGCTAAATATGTAAATTTAATTTGATCCTAATTTTCAGATTCTAATACGCATAATGCTCGAAGGAATTCGACGGCGTAAGAACGATAATGTGTTAGGATTTACCTAATGTCTATACATTATAAATGAATACTAATGTATTTGAGTACTTCATCCTTGTGTCACTTCTCGGCTTGAGGAGTCCAATCAGATACAACGCAATAAAAAATGAGCACGTGCCTGATTGCTCCAGCCTCATATGTACAAATTCAAATGCGTCAATGGCCCAGACAAGACTAGATGAATGCAATGAATTATATAATATTATTCAGTCGATTAGCGACATAATTCTACAGTAAAATGCATCACAATGTGTCTGCAAATAAAAAAATAATTGTCAAATAATGAAATACAAGGCAATATGATGGTTCTCCTAAGCCAGTAACTTACTTTCTGAATTTCGTGTGCTTTTACTACGAAGCGAAATGTGCGAAGCAATTTGGTACACGCCTACTCCACGCTTTGGTCATCGGAAACTAAAGGATCGGATGAGCTTGACCCGCTGGAGAATTAGAGGTCCAAAATCCTGCACGGATTAAGTGCGAGCATTCCAAGCTATCAATATGGTCTGCTGTCCCAGTGCAAAATTTATGTTTCGGCCAGAACCAAACAACAATAGACGTCAAATCCAGGCAACAATTAACCAGTGAATGGATTTAAAGGAAAATTTACGTGTCAGCATGATGTGAACATCTGTGTGTGCTATTTACACACCTTCGAACGAATTTCTCTCCATTGTCCTTCTGCGTTGCCCAGCCGAGAAGCACTTGTAGGGCTCATTTATCCAACCGTCAAAATTTAATGAGGCGATTCAAGGCGGCCAAAAGGACACCCGGTTCTTAATTGACTATTTTCGTCGCCAGAAAGCAGCAGTCGTTGCATTGGCGCTTTGCGTGAAGGCACTGGTGCATCTGGTAGGGTAATTGGCTGAGACGTCCCTGGAAACTTTCCAGTCGCAGGAGTGCAAAGATGGTTCAGCTGCGGATTAACTGTTGACCAGAGTTGACCAACTCGCGGAATAGCTTGCAGCGATACAGCCGGAAACGCGGAGGTGCAATTGAAAGGGACGGCGATACAGATGTGGCAGACCAGGCCATTGGGAACATCAATGCACTCGTACGCCAACACCTGCACACAATAAGAATTTAGGATAATTCTTTAGCCTGGTGGGATGGGATTAGCTCCATGCCAACCAGGACGTTATCTAGGTAGACGGAAAGAGAGAGTTGTGCTTGAATGATAGATGTTAACAATATCGCTGAGTCGAAGAGGGAACGAAGGTTAATACAGACTGTGCGCAATAGCCGTCAGAAGGGGAAAAAACGGCGATTACGTTTTGACTCAGCCAAATACAATTTGGACGAAAGCCGTTAGGTATGCTTAGGGCACCATTCACATTACGGTGTTTGATACTTCGTTCAACGAAGGGACCCTGGATTGCTGCCGTGTATGCAAACGATATTGTTGTGTACAGCGACCCAGTACCCCAGAGCCCGCAGTTCACTGGAGGCTGTACTGAAGCGGGTCGACGCTGGCCTTCGGATAAATGTAGCCAACTTACAACTCACTCGGAATTCTGTATTACTACTGGGGTATAAAGTGGGTCCCGTACGTGTTATCTAACAGCCACTCCGCTTACTCTCACAATACCCTGACCCGGAGAGGTGCTCAATGTTCCAGCGTTCGCTAGTCATTGTGATATCGGCGCGTCCTTAAAGCAGAGAAAGAAATTTACCAAATATGCCGGTCGTGTGCTAAGGCTGAAAAAAATTACGCGACCACGGACAAAGTATACATAGCGAACGTTTGGACCTTAAGTAGTGGTGGTCATTCCTGACTGGACAAATTTTACATGACGGAACCTATCGCAAAATCTTGGAGTGGATCAGAGCCTTGAGGGGACCAGGTTGCGAAAGTACGTCCTCACAATCCAGAACCCGACATGCAGGTGGAACCATTTGGCTGATTGGCTGTCGGGACCTAGGGCTGAATACAAGGGTCCCAGGAACATCAGTTGTGCCAATAACCTTGTCCTTGATCTGGATGCCAGGGGTTTGGTGAACCTCCGACTGCGCCTGCATGAGGCTGGCACAATTACATGAAACGCAACTGATTCGGAATCTGTGATGCCCGTAATAACTTACGTCTTGAGACGGAAGCTTATCTTCAAAAAACTTGAATTGACGCATTCGCGGTGCAGAGGGCCCACTGGCTCGCTATGAGGAATGAGGTGATGAATTAAGTGAGCGGTGTCAAATAATGAATACGACCTCGAAAACCCATAACATGAACGGTATTCCTGTCTGAAGAATCGACGAGTTTTTGGCCAATGAATTCATGAGCCTCATTCCGCTGACAAACAGCGGGAATCAATACATAATAAGAACAACAGAAAACGTGTCACGGTGAATCAATGAGGCAGTTGTTTGTAATCATTGGGCGACGTCGACCATCGACGTGGTAACGCATCATATCAACAATGGTATGCTGGAAATGATCCCATTCTATCAGAAACCTTTCCTCAAGCGTTTAGATCAGTTGTTTTTGCGTGGTCTACACTTCTTTCCAATCGAAGGCGAAGGGGATAACGAAACACGTCGTGCCGTCCGTTGGAATCCGAAGTGTCATGCGTTCTTCGATGAAGTATGATCTTTCGACTGAGATCTCTGTTGCACGATGTTATCTCTCCACACATACGGTCCCATCCAGACATTAACAGGGCCTCAATATACTAGCGCCCGGTCACCCACTATATCCGTTATTTGGTTTCACACCCGAGACTTTAGAATTCTATCTTTGTTGATCAATCCGAAACTGCTGAATTCACTTGAGATTAATGAACCAAACGGGTATTCATCAAATTGCGTTTTAAAATGATGTATATCAAGGTTTATTCGCCTGTCCTCGTTTGCAAAGCGTATTTGCGTGACAGAATACTGCGTAGGAAACTAAGCGATTTCACTCGACTTCCGCGGAATCAGGGAAGGTTGTACGAATGCTGGACAATTAGGGGGCTGGTTTCGTTGCCACCGGGCCACAAAACAGAATCTTGCGAAAAACGAGGTTTAAGTGTGGACACACCTTCCGTTAGCCTAAGCTAAGAAGATTATCTCAAAGCAGGATGACCTTTAAGCTCAGGTATTAAATGCGCTTTTTGGCTTACAGCATACTTCAACGGCATCCCTTGTGAGTATGATTTCAATGGTGCAGCGCTTTGGCTAGAATGATAGAATTGCAGCATGATGTCAGCTACCGTGATAACCAGATAGGTCGGATTGTCGAATGCTACCAGAGTGGTTAATTTTCTTGTTGTTGTAATCGCCCATTACTTACGCCAGGCGGCACCAGGCTCCGCGATTTTGTGGCACTTTTGTATGAACCCGGGATAATTTTTAGGGCTTGCTTCGTTGCTACTAAGGCACACTTTTGTATCCGGGATAATTTTTAGGGCTTGCTTCGTTGCTACTAAGGCACAAAACAGTTTAATCTTGCACAAAACCAGAGTAAAGTGCGTGCGCACTCATAATTTTTTTCACGGTTTCTTTGAAATCCAAGGTAAGTTGGACAAACACACACAAACTACTGTAACAAGGTAATAATAACCAAACACTTTCCACAGAAGGCTGCCTATTGCACACAAGTAATAAAGACGAGACTCAAATTTTGTTGAATTACCACGAATTAGACTAGGTAGTCTCAATATAGCTGAAGTTGCCATCTTGTTTATTTTATTCACAGGGAAATACTAGTCTGTGTATCTCATTCAGTTTAAGTTACAAACCGAAGATGACTGCTACTTTTGTGGGACAGAAAGCTGATCCCCTGGTTTGAGCGTGCGAAAATTTACGCAAATCAGATCACTAAGAACACACGTAGCATCACTGATTTGTTCTATGTGGCACAAATATTGTTCTCAGCCATGAACTGGGAGAAATATACGAACACCTGTACTGTGACTTTTATGGAAGAGGATCTATTTAGAGCACTGAGATCACTTGGGTTTCCGCCGTTCAAAACAAATAGTGAAACCGCAATGGTGGAAATTTCGGTTCATCAAGCACTATCACATCTTCTGAGATAGCTGTTTCGTTTCCAGCATGAATGAATGTGTTGCACTAATATTTAAGATGGTATCTTTGGGCGTGGGTGGCGTTGCATGCATGTCAGGATATGGACAATGCTAAAACCTACAATCAGTTGTGAATACATAAAGCGACTTTATGAGTGGATGGAAACGAGTTGGTCATGCTACAAGTGACCATGTTTCGGTGATATTAAACGTGGTTGAAGCTGAAATCTGACGGCGAGAACACGTTCACTGGTTTCGTGGGTGTCTGAGTGAACCTAACAAGTAATCCTGGTATATCAACTTCATCTTTAGTGGTAGCTTTAAATGTACGAACGCCGAAAACCAGAATACCTTGCAATTATCGCTGAAGAGAAGTGCCATTACCGAATTTATTCTCCAAATTTGATGTACACATGTCGATAATAGAAACGGCATTCACGACTATTTCTTGGCTGAATTGAAAAGATAATGAATTTTGATGTTTATATTGTAAGACATAATTTGTATTTGGGGTTATTAGTCAGTTTGCTAGTTAAGTAGTTACTTACTTAGTTAGCTAGTTCATTTGTTCGTCAGTTTTTGGTTGTTTAGTTGCTCAGGTAGTTAGACACATTTAATTCACCAGGCGCCCGCGGTTCTTTGAGTCTACAGACAACACAAAGTGGGTTGAATGGGAATATTTTGAATCGCTGTAACATAAAACCGACGTCCAATCAGTGATTCAATGCAGAAACTAGATACGCAGCAACATTCGTCGGGAGTTTCTTCAACGCACTTGAATTTCTCGCATATATGGGCGTGCATATACATACTATTTTGGATAAACTGAAAAACACGAAGAAGGATATTTTGAACTACCACCGTTTATTCTCCTTACCTTACAATATCTGCAGTTGGTATCTGTTACGTATGAATGTGGCGGATTTCCAGTGTAGTACACAATTCCTTCAAATTTGCTACAAAATGCTCACGCAAACGTACTCCTGCAAATTATGGAAGAATTAGACGCACTAGAAATCTTTACCTACCTTTGAACATTCACACTAAAATTCGCAGATGGAAAACAAAGTACACTCTTTCAGTTAATTAGGGCTCCGGTAAAGGACTGATGAGAAAAATGAATCAACCTTTTCGGACAGAATCTCCTCACCAGTCTCATTATTAATGTTGCAGAACTGCGTGTCACAACATTTTTCAGACGACCACTCACGAGCACAACGTCGGACATATGCATAGCTCTTTGCACATGTTTCCGCAATCTAAACATAAGAGGTTAATTCAAAGAAGACAGTCAGCCTAATGCGAATTAGGAGGGCAAAAGAAATGAGAATTTGTTACAGACCTAACAGTATTTGCATCCGTTTTCGATTGTCATATTGCTTCCTTCGTCAAGCACCAGGCAGTTGGTACCCAGAGATTATCAGAATAGCGTAGAAGTGCGCAAGCTTCGTCTCACCTGAACAATTTGCAATCCATGTAAGGAGTAAAAGTGCAAAATTTGCTATCATGCCCGGCTTATACAAACCTGTTCGCAGAATATTCATAGACAGTTAGGGCTAGCTTGCACTTATATACATCATGTTGACTGTCAGTATTGATTTCCGACAATGTTAAGTGAAGAGTTCTCCCAGCAAATAAAGCGAAGTTGCCTGTTACCTACGGACATGGTGTCAGTTTGTCAGTTTGCCGAATTGCGGATAAAATAAAAGAG